GGACCCTCTCCTGATTCAACGTCCTTCTCCAATTGCCTCTCACTGTCCTCCGTCGTCGTCGTCGTCATCGTCCTCCTCGTACTCGCCCTCGTTCTCTTCGTCCTCGTCCTTGTGCCCAATAAGCCCATTAAAGCGGCGCTTCCCGTTCTTGTCCGATCAGCTTTGCATACGCATCCATCGTTGTGCATAGAATGTGCCGCGCGCACCGAGCAAAATGATTCCTCCTCTTCCTCCTCCTCCTCCTGACTCCTCGGAATATCCCCTCCTCATCCTACTAATCCTCCTCCACCTGTTGAATACTGTTCCTCATCATCATCGGCATCATCATCAGCTTCTCCCCATCACCCTTGTCAGAATCATCATCGTCATTATCAGCAGCATCGTCAGCATCATCACCATCTCTATCATCGCCATATTCACCACCATCCTCCGCATCAGCATCATCACCGTCTGTCCTCATCCCCCTCATCTTCCTTCTGCTACAGCATCCTCCTTCCTGGTCATCCTTTTCCTCCTGCTCCTCCTGGTGTGTCCTGGTTGCTCCGAAGCTGTCCGTTACCATTGAGGGAGAAGGCAGCCAAACAGGACAATGTTGAAAATCGAGAACGGGGGATTCTCAAGTGGCGGTCTGGGTGCCGACGCGCGGCGCGGTTGGTTTCCGAGTTGCGCGTTGTAGCACGGGTGGGGCAGGAGAAGGAGGGCGAGGTAGAGCGCGAGAGAGCGATAGAGAGGGGGGGAGGGAGGGAGGGAGGGAGAGAGAGAGAGAGAGGGAGAGAGAGAGAGAGATAGCAAGGCGCGGGGGCGGAGCGACGAGGCATTGTTTGGTATTGGTTGGTCATGTTTGGCATTGCTTGGCATCGAGTGATCGTGCGTGGCGTTGTTTGGCATTGGTCGGTTTGTGCCTGGCGCTGTTTCGTTGTGGTTGGAATTGGTAGGTCGTGATTTGCGTTACTTGGCACCAGTCGGTCGCGCTTGGCATTACTCAACATTGCGTGGTCGTGTTGGGCATTGTTTGGCATTTGGCATTGCTTGGTCGATTCTGGCATTGAATGGTCGTGCCAGGCATTGATTGGCACTGTTCGTCGGTGTGAGGCATCGAGCTGCCGCGCTTGGCATTGTTTGGCATTTGCTGGTTGTGCTTGGCATTGCTTGGTCGCACTTGGAACTGAGTCGTCGTGAATGACATTGCTTGGTATCGGTTGGCATTGTTTGGCATTGCTTGGAATTGAGTGGTTCTGCCTGCCGTTGCCTGACATTGGTTGGTCGTGCTTGGCATTGGTTGGTCATGGTTGGCATTGCTTGGCAAGGAGCGGTCGTGCTTGGCATTGGTTGGCAAGGTGCGGTCGTGCTTGGCATTGAGTGGTCGTGCTTGGCATTGTGTGGTCATGCTTTGCATTGAGTGGTCGTGCCTGGCATTGGTTGGCATTGGTTGGTCGTGCTTGGCATTGCTTGGCGTTGAATGATCGTGCTAGGAATTGCTGGGCCTTGGATGGTCGTGCCTGACATTGGCTGCTCGTGCTTGGCATTGGGACAAAATCTTTACTTGGGTTGAGTTATCGATGCGGTTGTTCGGTGCGTGTGTTTTACAAAAATAGATGGTCACTGTGGAAGGCCATTGGACAGGACGTGGCAGCGGTGAGCAACCAGCAAGCAGCGAACACCATGAATTGGCAGCGGTGGGCGATCAGCGGCCAGTAGTGGGCAGCAACAAACCAGCAGTTGGCAGCAGTAGTCGATCAGTACGCAGGCAATCAGGCATTTCGTGCTGCTCACTTATTGCTCACTGTTTGCCCACAATTTGCACATTGGTGCCAATGCAACTCATGGCTGGTCACTGGTGCCACCTGCTTGTCCACTAAATGATCACGGAATACCCGCCTCTCTGATTCTTCACTGCTATTCACCAATTTTCAGGGCTGCTTGATGCTTACAACTGCTTATTGCCGATTGCCCATTGCTTGGCCGTTTTGCCCATTGATTATCTAAAGGCTGCCACCTCTGCCGCCGACCCCAGAAGAAGAGCCGGTTGTTCGGCTGAGAGGGGTAATGGGGGTGCAGTTGAGTTTGGATGAGCTGGGCAGCGCGAAGCATGATTGATTTGGTATTGCAAGGTCGGCGCGTGCGCGATGAGGAAGTGAGCTGGACAGCCGTCGGCAAGTTGTGTGTTGTTTGTGCGTGCACTGGTGTTGCTCAAATTCTTTTATGCACTTCCCGTGTCACCGCCAGCCCATCCAGTGACCAGTGTTGTGCCCTCCTCTTTTTTGATGAGGCCTGGGCATTTCTGGGCTTCCATGGCCAGGAGTAGCTCTGCATGGCCTAGTCCTTCTGGGGGGGGGGGCCTAATCCGTGAGGCCGCTCTGCCAGGCCAACCGTTTAGACAGCTTGTTACGCAAAGAGTTAAACCAGGTAGGTCTGCCCTCAATCGTCGCGTCGAAGGGGACTGTACCAACCTTGGCGCGATTGCCCCACTTAGGCCATTCGGCAAGCTGGCCTGGCACACTAAGACGAGAAATCGCATATGCACGAGCCGGTAATCGGAAGACGAACTGTCATTCGCGTGTGCCATCTTTTTCTCTTCCTCTTTCTCTTCTTCCTTCTCCTCCTCCGCCTCCACCACTCTCCTTCATCCTCGTTTTCCCAACCATCCTGTGGTGTTGGGTCTCCGCTTTGAAGAAACGGCGCCCCGCATCCCACCTCTCCTCTCATCTCATCTCCTCCTCTCCCTCCTCTCTCCTCCTCCCACCTCCTCCCATCATCCCATCATCCGTCATCATTGTCATCATCACCATCGCCGTTATCGTCACCATCATCGCCACTCATGTCGGCACGCCCCTCACAAAATTCGTGGCCCCACAGCAGCACCACCGAAGGCTCCAGCGGCGGTGTCCACATGCGTCCCCGCCACCCATTTCGGCACACCCCTCACATGTTTCGCGCTCCCATAGAGAGCTCCACCGAAGGCCCCAGTGGCAAAGTTCGCACTGCGGACACGCCCCCATTCCAGCACACCACTCACACGTTTCGTGTCCCCATAGGCAGCTCCACCGAAGGCCCCAGTGGCAAAGCTCGCACGGCGGACCCGCCCCCATGTTCGCACACCCCTCACACGTTTTGCACACACACACACACACACACACACACACACACGCATACACGCCACACGCTTCGTGGCTCCACATCGGGAGCTCCACCGAAGGCCTCAGTTGGAAAGTTCGCACGGCGGACCCGCCCCCATCTCGGCACACCCCTCACACGCTTCGCGGCCCCATAAGAAGCTCAACCGAAGGCCCCAGTGGCAAAGTCCGCATGGCGGTACCGCCCATGTTTCGGCACACCATTCAAACGTCTCGTGGTCCCATAGGGAGCTCCACCGAAGGCTCCAGTGGCAAAGTTCGCATGGCGGCCCCGCCCCGATTTCGGCACACCCTTCACACTTTTCGTGGCCCCACAGGAAGCTCCACCGGAGGCCTGCAGAGTTCGCATGGCGCCCCCGCCGTCCATTCCTGCGCACCCATCACACGTTCTCGTGGTTCCACATAGGGGGCTCCACCGAAGGCCCCAGCGGCAGGGTTCGCGCGGCGTCAACGCTTCGATTTCGGCAAGCCCTTCACACGCTTCGTGGCTCCATGGGGAGTTCCACCGAAGGCCCCAGCGGCAGGGTCCGCATAGCGGCCCCCGCCGACGTTTCGGCATGCCCCTCACACGTTTCGTGGCCCCATTGGGAGCTCCACCGAAGGCCCCAGCGGCAGGGTCCGCATGGCAGCCCCACACCCGATTCGGCACACCCCTCAAACTTGTCGCGGCTCCAAAGGGAGCTCCACCAAAGACGGTAGTCACATACGCGGTACCCATAATTACATATGGTTGGGTCTTTCGCTTGGATAATTGTCATCCATCCTTGTCGGAGTCCTCAGAGTCCTTGGTCTCCCCTGCATCGCCCTCGAGGTATGCGCCCTCGTCATTGCATTTGCAGCCTCTTAGTGTTGGCCGCCATCCTTTGTTCCACCTTCCATCCTGCACTTCCTTCCATAATGCCCCCGATGTGTCCTCGGCGGGCGGCAGTACTGCAGACACATGGGTGACGTTGCCCGCGTGGGCTCCCCTGGGACGCGCCAGGCGTACCTCTGAAGTAATCCTGGACCGAACAGTGTGCAACGCAACAAGTATCAAGAAACCAAGCTCGTTTCCATGTTCTTTGCTCTGCGGGGCCTTCTGGAGGGCCTCTTGAGGTTAACTTAGGGCCTCTCGCAAGCCTCTTGGGGCCTCGCGGGCGCCTGTCAGGTCTTGTTGGTTGCTGTTGGGTCCCTTTGCAGCAGTGTTGGGCCACCTTGGCGTTCCCAGTGACCTTCATGGGCCGTCCAGGCAGCCGTACGGGCATTTGGAAGGCTTTGGAGAGCGCCAGGATGCAAGGGAGACTAGGCATGAGAGGCGCGGCGGTTTGATGGTTATCAGCATGTCTCCAAAAGAGCCCTCATACCTTGAAGGGAAGATCTGGGAACAAAATCATTGGGAGGTGAGTGAGGCTGGCTGCGGGGGGGGGGCAGGCTAACGGGAGACCGAGGACAGGATGCACAACCAGAGATCGTTCAATATTGAACGGTTCACGCGGTGACAAAAACAAGGGCGCAGGACACCAAGGCAGTAATTTGCGATACATACATCCCCCTCGTTTTCTTTCTCCCCGCGAGATATCAAGAGGTACCCAGAGGCACCTGGAGAAAGCATCCCAAAGCATGTCGGAGACCAGTTCCGACGCCTAATATTCAGTCTTGCCGCGACGACCTTGCCTACGCACTTCGTGACTCGTCGGATACCAGTTTAAGTGCTGGTCCCATCTGAATAGTTGGTTTGCCCTATCCCTTCATGGGCACCCCACTGGAGAATGACAGAATAGTAGGAAGAAGAGGACGAGAAGGAGACTGAGGAGGACGAGCATGATGATGACAATAACGACGACGAGGAGGAGGCGGAGAAGGATGTGCGCAGCTCGCCTCGGGCAGGCTGGGGATCCTGGGGTTCTTGGCGCATCCGGAGCTGTCCGCCGAGGACACGGGGCAGCAGCGAAGAGAGGCGCTTTTTTGTTGACCTGCCTCATCCTCAGCACTTCTCCTCCGTCGTACCTCCTCATCTGTCCTCCCCCCTGCTCTCCGTTCACCGTCAGCAGTAGCAGCAGCATCAGCATCATCAGCAGCAGCATCAGATTCATCGTCCTCGCTCTATCTCCGCAGGAACCATCAGCCTCTACACCAGCAGCATCAACCGCTTCGTCTCAAGAAGCCGCGCCGCATGTTCCGTCTGTGCCCGGCCCAGCGAGCTGCAGCGGCCTGCATGTCCGAGCGGGTCCGAGGCGCAGCCCTGCGTGCATTTCTGGATGAGCCCTCGCCAACTGCACCACCCAGGGCGCCTTCTGGGCGCCAGAGGCGAGAGACAGCCTCGAAGCGCAGTTTCTGTGTCCAGGCTGCTGTCGGCTCCACCGTCGCTGTCGTCCGCTGAGCGGTGACGCCAGCGACAGCGACTGCTTCGACACGGCAGGTGCGCGACCCGTCTCTCCTACCCGTCTCTCGCTCTCGCTCTCTCTCTCTCTCTCTCTCTCTCTTTTTCTCTCTCTCTCTCTCTCTCATTCGTTGCATGCTGCATTTGCGTGTAGGACGCACCAATGATCGCAGAAGAGGAAGGGTCGGAGCCATGACGTCGTTTCGGGCACTGTCTTGTCCGAGAAAAGCGAACGCCTCGCGCCACTGCGCCGCGGGAAAGCAGTCCAAGAACGCCATGGGCACTGGCCAACCGAAACTAATTCCTGTCATAGCAAGCAGAGAATAAACTAAATTGAAACAGTTAAAAATAATCTATATATAGAGATATACACAAAAAAAACCTAGCAAGCCTGGCTTCGCCAAGTGCGCAGTTGGGAAACTGTCCAAAGGCCGAGCGGGCGCTCAACCACGACGTGCATTGAAAGGAGCGCGGCAGAACCGAGGCGAATGCAGCATGTGTCACAGGTTGTCCAGTGGACAACGACCGCTTGCGGGGCAAGTCTACGAAGATCGGCGTATGTCACTCGAAGAGAAGATCCATCACAATGGGAAGAGGTAGCTATCCCACCTGCAGTAATCAGAGGCACGGGCACAGAGATGCCGTCATTGCTCAAGGTCTTCGCACGCAGATACCGATGCCCAAGCGGCGTTGGACACGGTGGCTTGAGAAGACGTCCGAGGAGACCGCGAGCAGGAGCAAAGTGCTCGGACAAAAATTAGCCTCATTGCTTTAAGACGACATGCGGACATTAATATCTATCGAAGACGCCTACGGCGAATCACCGCCGCCCCCTGCCTTTTTGGAAGCGCCTATGTGGCCGAACGTTGAGGCCAGACTTGCCAAGCTATCGGACCATGTGTTCCCCGAATCGGTTTGGAAAGCCTTCGGGGAACAAGTGGGCATCTTGAAGGTCATCTTGGCCGTCTGGAGGCCATTTTGACCCTTTCGGGCCTTCTTGGAGGACGTCTTGGAGGGCTCTTGGGCCGTCTTGGAGGCCATCTTGAGCGTCTTGGAGACCTCTTGGGCCGTCTTGGGGGCCTCTTGGGGCCCTGCCTTGGGCCTTTTTGGCGATCTTTGGGGGCATTTGGGCCGTCTCGGGCCGTCGGAAGGCAGAAAAAAGCAAATGCCACAATCCTTCAAAAATATTGGCCTTTTCTGGCCTTCCTGGAGACCCTCTTGGAGGCCGCTTGGGCCGTCTTGGGCCATCTTAGGGCCATGTTCGGCCGTCTTGGTGGGCTCCTGGTCCGTCGGAAGCCGTTTGGGGGGGCTCTATGGGCCGACTTGGGGCCCTCTTGGAATGCTTCAGGGCCGTCTTGGAGGCCCATCTTGGGCGTCTTAAAGGCCTCCTGGGCCGTCTTGGGGGCCGTCTTGGGGCCCTCTTGGGCCGTTCTGGGGCCATCTTGGAGGCCTCTTGGGCGATCCTTCGGCGATCTTCGGGGGCTCTTGGGCCGTCTCGGGCCGTGGGAAGGCCGAAAAGAAGCAAATGTCAAAGTCCGTTAAAAACCTTAGGAAAATCAATGTTTTGGGCCTCTTCTGGCATTCCTGGAGGCCTTCTTGGGAGCCTCTTGGGCCGTCTTGGGCCAGCTTCGAGCCAACTTCGGCCATCTTGGTGGGTTCCTGGCACGTCTGACGCCGTCGGGAGCCGTCTTGGGGGCCTTTCTGGGCCGACTTGGGGCCCTCTTGGGGCGCTTCGGGGCCGTCTTGGAGGCCATCTTGGGCGTCTTGGAGGCAATCTTGGGCGTGTTGGAGGCCTCTTTGGCCGTCTCGGGGCCCTCTTGGGGCCGTCTTGGAGGCCACTTGGGCCGTCATGGGGCCCTCTGGGGGGCCTCTTGGGCGATCTTGGGGGCCTCTTGGGCCGTCTTGGGCCGTCGGAAAGCCGAAAAGGCGCAAATGCCAAAATCCGTCAAAGACCGACGGAAAATCCATGATTTGGGCCCTTTCGGGCTTTCCTCGAGGACGTCTTGGAGGGCTCTTGGGCCGTCTTGGAGGCCTCTTGCGGGCCTGTTGGGCTATCTGAGGCCGTCTCGGGTACATCTTGGGCCGTCTTGGAGGCATCTTGGGGCCATCTTAGCCGTCTTGGAGGCCATCTTGGGCCGTCTTGGAGACGTCTTGGAAACCATCCTGGGCCATCTTGGCCGTCTTGGACGCCATCTTGGGCCAACTGGAGGAAACAGAGGCACGACGGTCGCGTTTGGGGGATTTTGCGGGTGGCCGGCGGGACGGGCCGAAGCCCCAGGGGGAGTTCTTTGGGAAAAAGAACCAAGACCAAAACCGAGAGGGTCCAACACGCCAGGCACCCCTTTGATGAATCAAAAGGGGGCGGCGGATCACATGGCCTGCGGCCCAACCCGCCACCGTGCCTGGGTTGTGGTTATGAAGCCAAGCGGATGTTCGTTGGGATCTCCTGGGAGGCCTCTTGGAGGCAGTTCAGAGGCCTTTGGGGGACCGTTTGGGGACCTCTTGGGGGCCTCTTGGGGGCCTCTTGGGGCCTCTTGGGGCCTCTTGGAGCCTCCTGGGCGCCTCTTGGGGCCTCCTGGGGACCTCTTGAGGCGGAAGACTCGGATGTTTTGTTTGTGTTCCTTCTCTTGGGCTCCTTAGGGGCCGTCGTGGGGCCCTCTTTGGCCGTATTGGGCACCTCTTGGGCCGTCTTGGGGCGTTCTTGGGCCGTCTTGGGGGCTTATTGGGCCGCCTTGCGTCGGAAAGCCGAAAAGGAGAGAACGCTAAAATCTTCCAAAACATAAGGGAAATCAATGATGTTTGCCTCTTGGGGCCATCTTGAGGCCATCTGGGGCGTCATGCAACGATCTTTCGACGACTCGGGGCCTCGCAGGGCTCTCTGGGCCCGTCTTCTGCCCTCCTGGGCCCGAAAAAGTCATGCGACAAGCCGCGGGGGAGCCCAAGGGAACCGCGGGAAGCCCCGCCAAATTTCGGAATCTTGGGCCCGGGCCCACTCTGAAGATTGAGGCTCCAAGGATTAGGCAAAAGGACTTGAGGACACGCCCACTCCGTGCCCATGGGCACGGTGGCGGGTATGTAGCCCGAAGTGGCGTGAGGAAAAGTATGAGAGGGAGATAGAGGCATGCACGGAGCGGGTGTGGCCAAAGAAGGCCTTCATCAAATTTCTAGGACGCTAAGGGGGGGGCATTGCAAGCCAAGCTCGTGAGGGAAAGGGAGGTGTTCGAGCTCGAAGTGGAGTCACCAAACCACGTCGACTGGGATGCCCTCAGAACGACGATATATGTGACGAGTTCCCAACGGATTCCAGACGCGGTCGCAGAAGCCATTTTCAACTAGTGTTGCGAGGGATATGATTGCTTCTGGCTCCGCCACCGAGAGCAGCGGGTGCTGCACCAAGGCTTGTGCAGATCTCAGGCCTCACGCGGCAGCCACGAAGACTGGATGTCTTGCACCTCTTGTCCTGACAGTGATGTGGGGCGCTCCAAATAGGGCCTTGCCTTCGAGGATCGAAGGAGTTGCCGTCTCTTCCTCGGCGGAAGGTTGGCGGAAGGCGGCGGAAGTAAAAGATGCACCCCCAAGAGATGAAAAGTTTTTGGGTGCAGGGTTTCCGGAATCCGCCATGTGGTTCCTTTGTTTTCCTCCTTCCTGGAAGCTGCAGTGCGTTGGCGCTCCTGACCGAGCACACATCAACCAATGCTCGTCGATGACGGCAACGAGCGAATCGCATGTTTTGTTCTGTTGACCACCATACGTAGAGACAAAGAGATCAGAGTTCAAGTAAAATCATCATCACCATCATCTTCCTCATCCCCCACCGTAATCGGCATTGGAGATACCGTTCACATGAGCACATGATCACCAACCTCTTCCTCAGGAAGGGTGCTGATCCTCCTGAGCCGCCAGCTGATTAGTTTGAGACCACCCTTCGAAGAAATGTACGCGAGAGAGCTCTGAGAACCCGGGCGGACTGGGGAGGTTTGGGAAGAAGCCAGCAGGGGATTGGGGAGGAGAGTGAGCAAGGGGCAACAAAGAGGAGAAGGAAGAGGGATGCGGGAGCATGGAGGAGGGAGAAGCGAAGAGCCAAGAGCGACGAGGCGGGAAATGAGGGGTGGAGAGGGGACGAGGACGGAGGCAGGAACGGGGAGAAGGGGGAGAGAGGAGAGAGTGTGGGCGGTCAAGATAGGCGCGCTCGCCCCACAATTGGTGCACGACCCCTCCCACACATCCCTTCCCGTTTCGTTGAATCCTTTTCTATCCGCCGATTGGGGTGTCCTCGAGGATATTGATCCCCAATTGGCAGTTGCGGGAGTTGACACATCGTCTGCTGCACAAGCGAAAATGGGGAGCTCTTGTACTCTGGAGGGGGAGGAGGAGGAGGAGGAGGAGGAGGAGGAGGAGGAGGAGGAGGAGGAGGAGGAGGAGGAGGGGAGAAGGAGGCGGATGGAGTCCTGGGGTAGCGCCCCCTTTTGGCTAGTGGAGCGTATTTTCAAAACCGGCCCTTCCGCGAGGAAGGCCGGTGCAGGCATCGGGTCATCCATCGACCGAATCGAACC